TTCGGATTCGTCTCCCTCTCTCTCTGCCCCTAACCCACTCGCATTCTGTCTCTGTCTCTCTCAAAGATAAATAAACACTAAAAAAAAAAAAAATGAAAAAAAAATAACCCCTAATGATATTAAAGTTAAAAGACATTCATCCATTCATCCAGTAAGGATTTTATTTATTTATTTATTTATTTATTTATTTATTTATTTATTTAAGTTTATTTTTATTTTGAGAGAGGGAGACACCAGGGGAGGGGCAGAGAGAGAATCCCAAGCAGGCTCCACGCCGCCAGGACATGGGGCTCGATCTCGCGAACCCTGAGACCATGACCTGAGCTAAAAATCAAAGTCGGATGCCTCACCGATGGAGCCACCCAGGTGCCCCTCCAATAAGTATCTATTACGTTCTTTCATCATGCTCTCTTGGACCTTCCACTCTAGTCTGGGAGACAGACACATACGTGTTCCTAGAGCATCGGTCTCCAATAGCCCTCTCTGCGACGGTAGACATGTTCTACGGGGCACCTGGGGGCTCAGCAGTTGAGCATCCAACTCTTGATTTCGGCTGAGGTCGTGATCTCATAGTTCATGAGAGCGAGCCCTGCGTGGGGCTCTTCGCTGACAGCAAGGGGCCTGCTTGGGATTCTCTCTCCCTCTGTCTCCGCCCCTCCCCCCCAAAAATAAAAATAAATAAATAAATAAATAAATAAATAAATAAATAAATAAATAGGGGCGCCTGGGTGGCTCGGTCAGTTGCGCATCCGACTTCCGCTCAGGTCATGATCTCGAGGTTCATGAGTTCAGGCCCCGTGTCAGGCTCTGTGTCTCTCTCTCTCAAAAATAAACAAATATGAAAAAAATGTTTTAAATAAATAGAGAGAGAGAGAGAGGGAAATGTTCTCGACTTTTGCAGTCCAGTGTGGTAGCCACCAATTTGCGATCGTTTGAAATGTGGTTGGTGTAACTAAGGAACTGAATTTTTCTTTTCCTTTTTCTTTCTTTCTTTATTTTAACGTTTATTTATTTTTGAGAGAGAGAGAGAGAGAGACAGAGCATGAACGAGGGAGGGTCAGAGAGAGGGAGACAAAGAATCTGAAACAGGCTCCAGGCTCTGAGCTGTCAGCACAGAGTCCGACGCGGGGTTCGAACCCACGGACCGTGAGATCGTGACCTGAGCCGAAGTCGGACGCTCAACCGACTGAGCCACCCAGGCGCCCCGGAAACAAATTTTTAAACCTTAATTCCAACTTAAATTCAAAAGCCCTACCTGGCTAGCAGCTACCACCATGGACAGCACTAGAAAATTCCATCCCTACAGAGAGGTACAAGGGAATTGGCGGCCTCACATGGTTTTGGTTGGCTCACAAACGTGGGCCCACCCTACCACAGAGGGCACAGGGGCTCACAAGAAGAGAAAGGAAACGCACCCCTTAAAAAGAAATATAAAAGGGGCACCGGGGTGGCTCGGTCATTTGAGCGTCCGACTCGTGATCTTGGCTCAGGTCATGATCTCAGGGTTCATGGGTTCGAGCCCCACCTGGCACAGAGCCTGCTTGGGATTCTCTCCCTCCCTCTCTCTGCCCCTCCCCCCTAAATAAATAAATAAACTTAAACAAATAAATAAAACAAGAAACACAGTTTCTCCTCCCAGCCAGTTCTGGAAGCCCATTCTGTGAAGGATGTTCAATTCCTCAGCCGCATGGTGGGGGAGGGGAGAGCGGGCAAAAAAAGGAATCCTCATGTCCCCTTTCCCTACAGTAAGCATTTATTTTTCATTCCCCTCCTATCAATTAAACTATGTGTCTATGCACACATATACATTATTAACTACCAGCCTGAACTCATTCATTCAGCCACTCTGTTAAGCACCTGTTGTATGCCGGGTGCTGTTCCAGACCCTGTGGCTACAGCGGTGAACCAGACGGACAAGATCTGTTCCTTCACGGAATTTCAAGCCCAGTGGGAAGAGGGCGAACCATAAACTTAATAACCAAGAACATATTACAGTTACAAGGGGATACGTGCTATGGACAAAAACACTGCCAGGGGCGTGAGTTTCGGAGACCTAGGGAGGAGGCTACGGGTTGCAGTATTTAAGAAGGTGCTCAGACAGGTGTCCTTTGAGCCAACACTTGAAGGAAGTGAGGGGGTGGAGCCAGGAGGCTATCTGGGAGAAGGCTGTTCCAGCAGAGGGAACAGCCAGTGCAAAGATCCTGAGGCAGGAGTGTGCTGGAGTGGTCCAGGAACTTCCTGTTTGCTGCCATAGGTTCTTGTAATTCGAGGAGACCCCCGGTTACTGAGTGAAGTGAGGAGACAGCGGAGGCTAGTGAGCTGAGAAGGCACAGAAGCTGTGACTCAAATGTTAAGATCCCTCTGGCGATGGGGGGCAGGAATAAACAGGAAAGCAAAGAGATGCAGGGCTCCCCAATGCCCTCTCTCAAAAATGAATACACATTAAAATAAAATTAAAAAAAGACTGAGCGGGGCACCTGGGTGGCTCAGTTGGTTGCGCGTCCGACTTCAGCTCAGGTCATGATCTCGCGGCTCATGAGTTAAGAGCCCTGCGTCGGGCTCTGTGCTGATGGCTCAGAGCCTAGAGCCTGCTGTGGATTCTGTGTCTCCCTCTCTTTCTGCTCCTCCCCCCCCCCCCACTTGTGCTCTGTCTGTCTCTGAAAATAAACAAGCATTTAAAAAGAAACTTTATTTTTTTTAAACGACCGACCAAAGGGGGCCCCTGGGTGGCTCAGTCAGTTAAGTGGCCGACTTCAGCTCAGGTCATGATCTTGCGTTTTGTGAGTTCAAGCTCCGAGTGGGGCTCCGCACTGATGTGTGGAGACTGCTTGGGATTCTCTCTCTCTCTCTGCCCCTCCCCTGCTCTAAATAAATAAATAAATAAATAAATAAATAAACAAACAAACAAACTTAAAAAAAAAAAAAAGCAAAGGATTAAAAGTGAAGGCTCTTAGATCCTCTCTTCCTGAAAGCCTCTCACACCTCCCTGCCATTGGAAGCCTTGGTTTTTGACTCTGTCCACAATGCCCCCCCGGTCTCTCCCCCCCCCCCCCCCCCCCCCCCCCCCTCCCTCCCCCCAAGGACCCCTGGAGACCTTCCTTACATTTTACCCTAGTCCTCAAGCCCCTCCCTCCATCCCCCCTCTTCAGCCTGACTCTGGAAACCTACAGTTCTTTCTACTTAGACAGGGAGGCGATTCACCTTTCGCCCCCAAGGGCATTTTCCTAAACAAAGAGAAACCTACAGGGAAATTACAGTTTGCCTACAAGGCAGTTGTGATATATATATATCACAACATATATATATAAATATAAAGTTTCCAGATGTCAGCTGGGATCTCCCTGCCTGTTAGAATCCATATAAAACCCCATTTTCCAATCGTGGGATCTTGACTGCCCTCCCCCAGATTTCTGCTCGTCTCCAGAGCTTCAAATTCTTTGCCTCCCCCCTCCCCCAAGTGTTTGCTTTGGCTGGAATCTGTTCGGGGGGGGGGGGGGCGGGAGGGGATCTGCTGTCCGTCTCTCCACTTGGGGTCTGCGGACTAATTCTGCCCTTTTCTTTCGTTTCTCTACGTACAGAGGCAGGTACACAAGGCATTGATGTGCTCATGTGTGAGGATGTAGAGAGGGCTTTACCGGAGATTTGACTCAGTTGGTTAAGCATCAGACTCTTGCTTTTGGTTCAGGCCATGATCTTGTGGTTCAGGGGTCCGGGCCCCCGCGACGGGCTCCGTGCTGACAGCACGGAGCCTGCTTGGGATTCTCTCTCTTTCCCTTTCTCTCTGCTCCTCCCACGCTCGCTCGCTCGCTCGCTCTCTCAAAGTAAATCAACATTTCAAACATTCATTTTAAATAATAAATTAATGTGGAAGGGCACCCGGGTGGCTCAGTCGGCTGAGCGTCAAGGCTCTTGATTTCAGTTCAGGTCGTGATCCCAGGGTCGTGGGATCGAGCCCCGAGTCCAGCTCGGCACGGAGCACAGAGCCTGCTTAAGATTCTCTCTCTCTCCCTCTGGCCCTCTCCCCCGCGTGCACTCTCTCTCTCTAAAATAAATTTTAAAAAATTAACATGGAGTTATGCTCTATATGGCCTCTATGACTCTTTTGTTTTTTTCTTTTCTTCTTCACGGATATGCCCTGGACATCTTCATGTCAGATCATAGGCCTAGATCTTGTTTCATCGAATAGTGACACAGCGTGGACTTCTTTATCCACTCATCCATGCGATCCACAAATATTTACAGCCCCTGTGGGTGTGCCAGGAACTGTGCTGAGTCACAGCTTGGAATGTGTCCCAGCTGGGGCTCGCAGGCTCCGAGGAGAGGCTGGGGTTCATCGGATAATCACAGAAGTACGCGGAGGGCTGCAGTTGCGAAGGAGGGGACGCGGGGCGCGTGCGCCATCGTGTATTCATCCGTGAGGGGGAATTCTCTCTCCCTGCTTGTCTTCGTCTCAAGGTTTAGAAACTGGGGGCCTGGCGGGAGGAGGCACGCCAAGTAAGTAAGGTGCGCGTCTGGGCCTGCGGTTCCCATCTGAGTAATGGAGAGAAGTTTCCACCTCGCAGGAGCGCTGAGAGCCTTGAACGTGTTATTACCGCCGATGGCACGGCGCCCGGCACGATACAAGCGATCGTTAGCGTTATTATGATTTGCAGGAGTCCCCTGTCTGAGCCTCAGCCCTCTGTAGAATGGAGGAGTATCCAGAACCTTCTCTGGAGGGCTGCGGTGAAGGCTGAACATAACGTTCTCCAGCACTTTCTTTGCACCAAGCCATCAACTTACCTTTGCGGCAACCCTGGAAGGGAGGTATTGATGTTGTCCCCACTTTGCAGCTCCAAACGGAGGCACCGAGAGGTGCGGTGGCTTGCTCTGGAGTTCACCACCAGTCAGGATGTGGGGCAGTTGGAGGCTGTTAGGGGTGAGAGGGGGTTCCGGGAGGGCCGTGAGAGCATCTGGGTGGGACTGACCCTGCCTTTCATGCCCCCTGCCCACCCCCTCCCCAGGAAGCTGGACGCTTTCATCTATGATGCGGCTGTGCTCAACTACATGGCCCGCAAGGATGAAGGCTGCAAGCTGGTCACCATCGGCTCGGGCAAGGTCTTTGCCACGACGGGCTACGGCATCGCCCTGCACAAGGGCTCCCGCTGGAAGCGCCCGATCGACCTGGCTCTGTTGCAGTTCCTGGGGGACGGTGCGGCTGCGCACAGGGATGCCTCGGGGGTGGGGCGTGGGGGTGGGGGTAGGGGTGGGGGGCAGAGCCCTGGGTCTCGGGCGCAGGAGGGGATGAGGATCAGGACACCAGGGTCTAAGGGAGGAGAGGGTCGGGCGCCTAGACTCCTGTATCAGAGAAGAGGGTCCGAGGAGGGTGCCCCTGGAAGTTGACCCATGCCCCCTGCCCCCTTTCTCCAGATGAGATCGAGATGCTGGAGCGGCTGTGGCTGTCTGGGATCTGCCACAACGACAAAATCGAGGTGATGAGCAGTAAGCTGGACATCGACAACATGGCGGGGGTCTTCTACATGCTCCTGGTGGCCATGGGCCTCTCCCTGCTGGTCTTCGCCTGGGAGCACCTGGTGTACTGGCGCCTGCGGCATTGCCTGGGGCCCACCCACCGCATGGACTTCCTGCTGGCCTTCTCCAGGGTACGCGGGGACAGAGGCAGGCCGGGCTGCGGGCTGCGGGGAGGCAGGCAGGGCTGCCTCGCAGTGGGAGACACCTGGGTCGAGGTCCCGGCCGGGCGGGAGGGCTGGAGGGGAGGCGGGCGGTCCCGGGCATCTCCCCGCCGTCCTCCCCCCCCCCC